GGTTGGCTGAGGTACAGGGTGTAAAAGAACGAATTCCCAGCGCTCCTGGAGTGTTTCAGAGCTAACAGTGCGGGTTTATGTCGTGCTGCGCTGTGAAAAGCTCTGGTTCTGCTTTTTAAAGTGTCTGACAACGTGAAAGGGGGGATTCTCTGCTCCGTTGCATCGCGTTTCTTTTTTTCTGTTGGTTTTCCCCTTTAAAGAGACGGTGTTGCCAAGTCCTCTGTACTAGGAGAGACCTTCATGCTGGTGTTGACGATCCTTCTGGAGAAAATGTACCTGTTGGTTGAAGGAGGGATAATTGACCATGCTTTGAATTCCCCTCACTGCTAAAGCTTTAGTTAACAGTAAAGCTACTGACGGTTTTGAGATAATACCCTCATGGCTTTAAAGAGCTTGGGGGTGAGGGTTGATAGGCCAGAAGATACTGCTGCAGTTAGGAAGCTCCTCCTAGAATCACCCAGTTTGTGCAAGAGAGATAAAGGAGAGATTGGCTGGAGTGGAAGTCTTGAGAAGTAAATATGCTGTCTGACAATATTGCACATGTTGTAGTGAAACCTGGACCTTCACTTCCCCTTTATAACTGCTTATAGAGTAATTCAGGCCCTTCCTGAAAGAAGTACTCCTGTCACATACAATAAGATGGGGTCAGGAGGAAGATTACAAATTATAACTTGTATTCATAATAGCAATTAATTCCTTGGTGAGAAATGCTTGCCTCATAGTTAAGGTTGCTAATTATTTTTAACTTGTTTTTAGGGAGGAAAACAATACATAAAGAACAGGTTTAGATACTGCTATGGTAGATGTGCAACAGCTTACAAGGAAAACAGAAGTAGAAGTTACTCTTGGGAGTTTCATGTGTAGAGAAAGCAATGAGTAAATATGAATGTTGAAAGGCTCAGAAATCTTCCAGGAACTTGAGAGGGTGGAAACACTGGAAAAAAGGAAAGGTAGGATGAGAAAGAAAAAAATTAATTATCAGTAGGAAACAAAATTCTGGTCTAAACAATGGGGAAAACTTTGTAGGGTAGGGATGATGGTTGGACTTGATGATCCCAAGGGTCTTTTCTAACCTGAATGATTCTGTGATTCTGTGTGTAAGCAAGATTCAGAGCTGCACAGGACTCCTGATTATGGAACTTGAATTGTTCATGTGCCTGTGCTTGAACATGAGGAAAAATACTGATTGGATTGTCTTGGATACCATCTTGGATTGTAGAATTGTAATAAGATGCACAGAATGATGGAATAAGTGCTTAAAAGAGAGAAAACAATTCTTCCTTTCATTGAGTCTAAAATGAAAAAAAACCTCATTGATCTTTTGTCTTAATATATGAAAGGCTATGACAGTATGTAAGAAACTCAGATCCTAAAGCCAGTAGAGGAATATCCTGTTGACTTCAGTGCTTGTTTAAACCAGTTATTTTGCATGTAACCTCTGTAGGGAGGATCTACATAACTAATAGCTAGTTAAACTTCTACCTCATTTTGTTCTACATGCCTTGTCTTTTTTTAATTTTTCAGGTGCGTTTGATTACCTGCTGGAAACACTTTGAAGTATCAACAATGAACTTGATGTTAACATTATTCTTCTCTGGAATAGTTGGCTGTTGTGGTCGCTCCACTGGTGATTTGGTATCCAGGTTACTTCTCGTGTCCTTTGATGGCTTCAGGGCTGATTACTTGGAAACCTATAAACTTCCTCATCTCCAGGAGTTCATTAAGGATGGTGTGCTTGTAAAAGAAGTGACAAACTCTTTTATCACCAAGACTTTCCCAAACCATTACACCATAGTGACGGGTTTATATGAGGAGAGCCATGGCATCGTGGCTAACGACATGTATGACCCAGATGCTCAGAAGAAGTTTTCACAGTTCAATGATTCAGATGCCTTCTGGTGGAACGAAGCAGTCCCGATTTGGGCAACAAACCAACAGCAGGGAAATGGGGCAAGTGCTGCTGCCATGTGGCCTGGTAGTGATGTAAAAATTAACGACACGACCCCTCAGTTCTTTATGAAGTATAACTTCTCAGTTACGTTTGAGGAGAGAGTGGAGAAAATTGTGGCATGGCTGAACAGCTCTAACCCAATAGTCAATTTTGCTACGTTATACTGGGAAGAACCAGATGCAAGTGGGCACAAATATGGCCCAGATGACCATGAGAACATGCGCCAAGTATTAGAAGAAGTGGATAATCACATTGGTTTCCTTACTGATAAATTGAAGGCCTTTGGTTTGTGGGACACTATTAATATCATCATAACAAGTGATCATGGAATGGCATCGTGTTCTGCAAACAAGCTGATTATCCTGGATGACTGCATTGGTCGCAATAACTATACTCTGATAGACAGGACTCCAGTTGCTGCAGTGCTGCCAAAGCAGAGTATGTGTTGAGTTTTTTTAAGTCATATGTTGAGAAGTAAATCTTTTTTATCTTATTAGTAAGAAGTACACACTGTGGTAGACTGCTCGTATCTTTTGCAAAATCAGTGTAGTTTGTATTGCATCCATCTTTGATGTAATTTAATGAATAAGCTAAAGAACATCTGTTGATTTAGGAGTTACTTTGGTTTGGTAATCAATGGGACAAGGAGAGTTTCTGGTGAAATTGATGTGGGTGGTAGAGATGATCCTAGTACAGATTATTCAGAAAGCAGATGGGCACTTTGTGTGCCTGGTTCCTTGTTGCTCACTTAGTTTACACAGTTGTCATTCACAGTGAGCATGAAATAAACCCTTGTGTTTATTCAGAATAAAAATGTCACTGGCTAAGCTTCCAAGTGAAAATGTAAACCCAACTTTGATCATTTTTCCACTTCTGTTTCTCTGAACTCATACTATGAATTCATTTTGTGTATCCCTGAGCAGTTACTAATATCTTAAATAATTAAATTCTGGCCTTGGTTTCCACACCTGAGCCAGACTGAACCAACTCCAGTGAACACAGTTATTTATACAGTTGCAAAATTTAATACCTACTGCTTTGGATCAAATATTGACTAGTTGGGTGTGTGTGATGGCTTTCTCTTGGCTCCTCTGCTTGAATTTCGCCCTCCTTCCCTGTAAAACCACAGGGGAAGCTGAATTGTAGGTCCAAAACCACAGCTGTGAGGTGCCTGATTTAGAATTAGAGGTAATTGTGAAATCCACCTTGATACACGTAGCATTTCATTAGGGACATGAAAAAAATATTTTTTGATCTACCTTTTAAAAAATAATTGAAAAAAATGGATCTTAGATTTAATGACAGTTAATTGCAGTAAATGAGACATAATTTCAAGGGGTTTCACATGTATTTTTTTTCTTGGCAGACAAAAGCGATGTCTACAACTTACTGAAAAAATGCAGTAGTCACATGAAAGTGTATCTCAAAGAAGAAATTCCAGACAGATTTCATTATCGTCACAATAAGAGGATTCAGCCCATAATTCTGGTTGCAGATGAAGGTTGGACAATTGTACAAAATGAGTCATTTTCAAAATGTAAGTGTGTTTTCCTCATGGTACTCTTGGTGGCTTCTCTTAGTCAACAGTCTTGCTTTTATTCCAGCCATCTCTGGGATGGGCTGAGTTTAGTGAGTAGAGTCCTAGTGCAGTGCATCTTTAGGGACATCTCAGCATTTTCTAGAACGTTCTCAGCCTGGGCCTGGAGTGTTTTAACAGGTGAGGAAGAGATGGTGGATGTTCTGTTGGCTAGAACACTTAGTCATGTTCAACTTAATAGTCTGAGGTACACTTTTAAGAGTTCTCTTAGGCAAGTTAGCAGTCTGTCTCAAGCTTCCACCAGAGTGGGGTTTAACTATTTTTTTGTATATAAAAATATATATATAGGGGAACATAAATTGAAGTACGCAAGACAACATTTCGTGTTACAGGAAACAAACATAAATGGGAGGAAATACTAAAAATAATAGAAGCACAACAAAATTGGTCAAAGAAGCCAGCATGCTTCCTGTTAGGGGCATCAAACAGCATATTTTAAAGGCAGAAAACACAACATGTTACTTCACATGCTTCATTGCTAAGCTGTGCACTTTCTTCCTGCTAGATGCCATGAATGTCAAATGACATATGTGGATATATTTCCAAGTGGTTTACATAACAGTTCTTTTTGGCAGACAAAAGGGGTGTGTATTACTTACTGAAAAAATGGGAAAGCCACATGAAAGTGTATCTCAAATAAGTTGTTCCAGATAGATTACATTATTGTCATAAGAAGAGAATTCAACCTATAATTCTGGTTGTGGATGAAAGCTGCATATAAATATTACATATGTATATGTGTGTGTGTTCAGAAAGTGGTTGGACAAATTCTTGGAAGAAAAATCCAATAATAGAAATTAAATACAAAGGCATGAACTTTCAGGAGGTTTTGGAGCAGCCAACAACTCCAGGCTGGATGGTGTGTCAGGGCTGACCCTGTTGGGTCCTTCCCAGACGGCAAGTTTGACTGCTGTCGGAGACAAGATGCTGGGGGGTGTAAACTCCCAGTTTCACCCTGTTTGATTGTTCTTACTGTCTGCCCTTTGCACCTTTTAAGTTCAAATTTTCTCATTATTGGTACAGAAGTACTGCTCATAATGTAAGGCATCTTTGTATTTTAATTTCCCCACAGACTTGTGAGAATCTTCAAATTGACAACACTTAGCACAGGTGTTTTTTTTCCTGTGTATTATTGGATTCAGTTTCTTGTACCTGAAAACAGTTATTACTGTATGTTAAGAAGTAACAGCATTGTGTCAGTTTTAAGTGAATTGCTTTTCAAAGTAATTTTGCTAGCAGTGGCTTCCCAGAAGAAGGCAGGGAGGGTTTTAGCCTAAAGGGCTATATAAGTGTTTAGGGTACTTGTTTTCATTAACAAAGTGGCAGCATAATGATTAGCCTGTGTACCAATGCCTGCAACATTCCCAGCATTGTCAATACACACCAGCCCTCCTACTTTTGAGGGGAAAGGAAACTTCCCCAGAGAGGGGACTTGGAACAGCTCAGTTCAAAACAAGCAAGTAGTAGAAGGAAAAAAAAAAAATGTAATCCAGAAATCCAGGACTGTATTGAAACAAATAAGCAAGATGTGGTGCACTACTGTCTCTGTGGTAGCAAACATAATGGTGAAAAACATTACAAAGGAATATTAGAGGCACTGAAGTGGTGAGGGTGACCTGATCCATAAGAATCATGACATTTGGCATCAGAAGGTTCAAGGAAGCATCCAAGGAAACAGTTGTGGGGGAGACTCAAACTGTTTCTAAGAGATGAACCAAAAACTTCAGTGCAGTCACTCATACTGTGCTCTATCTGCTATGAGAAATTGTTGACATCGTGGACAGATTTCTCAGGCACATTATTAGGAAATTTGGTTTTCAGTGGTTAATGTTCCACCAAAACTGGAGTGAGTTTTTTTCAAAACCTACCAAATGTCCAAGTAGTTGTGACCTTGTAGTTACAAATGTTTTGTTCTATGCCTATAAAAGGCATCATGATCCTTTGACTGTGTTTCAGTTTTAACTATTTGGGTATCCCCTCACCTGAAGTACCTAATCTGCTCAGCGTGATTTGAGGGTACTTAATATGCCCCAGTTGAACACTATTGAGAGGAAAGTGGCTTTTAAGAAATAATTGAAGTGTCTGCTTTGTCTTTCCAAACTCTGAGAAGCGCAAATCTACATTCCAGCTAGTGACTTGTGGAGCAGCAACATCCATTTCAGCTTTGGCATGAGTGGGAAGGGAAAAACTGAAAATGTTGATGATCAAAAGGCAATAAGGAGATGGGTGGGGGTAGGGGGAGAAACATGGCTGAAGACTAGTCTGGGGAAAGACTTGTGCAGATTGGCGAAGGAAGGAACTCTGGGTTCCTTCAGTGTTTGATCCAACAGCTGCTTTTATGTTCTACCTCAGTCTTTGGTTAAAACATATGCCCTTTGGGGGCAGGGGAGAGGTGGGGAGAGGGATGCGTGATATGCAGAGGGTGATGTTAACTCCTTAATGTTGCTTTTCTGCAGTAGGTGACCACGGCTATGACAACGCTCTCCCGAGCATGCACCCATTCCTGGCCGCTCGCGGGCCAGCTTTTCACCGGGGTTACAAGCAGGGCACGATGAACAACGTGGATATTTACCCCATGATGTGCCACATCCTGGGGCTGACGCCGCGGCCGCACAACGGCACTTTTAGTAACGCCAAGTGCCTGCTCGCTGACCAGTGGTGTGTCAATCTTCCCGAAGCTGTTGGGATAGTTATTGGGGCTTTAACCATACTGACTTCTTTCACCTGCATTCTAATCATCTCAAAGAAGAAAACAGCTGCCCCACGGCCCTTTTCCCGACTTCAATTACAGTCTGATGACGATGATCCTTTAATTGGATAGCATGTATGGAGCCCCACCTCGTTTGCTAAATAGGGATTTCAGGGAGAGTTTGGACTTGCACTGGGTGGCATTCTTTGATGCACTTTAATGGTATCTGTGTAAAATACTGTACAACCAGATCTTGCTAACTTTTTTGTGTGTGCTACTTGACTAGTAGTCCTGTTTTTCAGAACAAAACGGTGAACAGGTGGCTTTCTGCTGGAAGAGATGCTTAACAAAACAAAGATGCTTAGTTTTTCATTCAAGCTTTTCAACACTTTCAAAATGAATTCCAGAGTACGAACTAGCTGGGATAGACAAGTGAATTTTAACACTTGTAAATTATAATTGTACTTTTGTCTTAAATTAATGTTGACTTCTTTTAGTGAGCTTGTGCCTGTATTGGAAAGATCTTTTTATATGAGAGTTAGAAGTTAGTGCTGTTTGGACAGTATGTTCTGAATTGTTTTAAACTTGGAGATAGAGGATGTAAAGAAAATAAATACTTCTGTTTCCACCCTAAGCCAACAGTATGACAAGAAACTGCTGAGAAAGAAAACAGAAGTCAGTGATGAGACAATTGTTGCATATCACTTCTGTTCTGAGCCATGAAGTGTGCAGTTCAGCAGTTGCAACACCATGGCACCTGGCTCTGACATTTCTCTATGGCTTGTGGGTTACTTAGTTCCAAAGTTCCTGCACTCAGTTGGATGGTACTACTTGCTTATCTCAAGGAGGTAGATTTAATCTGAGAATCCTTGGATTGCTCAGTTTAATGGGCTGTAAAACTACTGTTTCTAAACCCTGTGAAAAGTTCTTAAGGTGTAAACTCTGCTGAAGATGTTTTTGTAATGAAGGTGGTTCTGCCCTGTGTGCCAACTGATCGTTATCTTTGAAGGCTGTCATGGTTTGAACGAGCAGCCATCAAGCAAGGATTCCAGACTCTTTATTTTAAACCGTGGAAATTTAAAGGAAAAAAATAATTTTTTTTGAGGTAAGATCTACTATTTGTAGTGTCTAAATGTAAAGTTCTGGTAAAGACCAGTGCTAATGGTTAATTGAAACTCTTTATTCCTTGTTAATGGTCAAGTCTAGTAACTTGCCATTAAAAAAAATATATATTTAAAAAGCCGGAGTAGCACTTATCTTTCCATGAGGAAAGAATGCAAGGTTAAATTCTTAATGCTAACCCAAAAAGAGAACTACTGTTACCAAATCCTGTTCCTACTAGTTTAATAGTTTTAAGAACTGGTAATCTTAAGTGAGAGAGCTGAGCTACAACATTTCTTGTTCATGAGGTCAAATCTAATGCTATTTCATACTGGCTACAAACTACCTTTTGATCCAGCTGGGAGGAAGTGGTGGGCTTTGGAGGGAAGGGTTGCTTTTAACTGCCCACTGAAAAAACCAGATTTTAGTTTTCAAAATGACACCTGGAAGTTTTACTAAATTGTATCTTTTTCTCCGAGGATTCTGTTGTACTGATTAAAAACACAATACAAAAACTAAAGTGTTCTGTTTTTTTTCCCCGTTCTTAAACTGCTAGTTACTACTTCCCACCTAATGTTTTACTCTGGATTAAGGTGAATTTAAGAGGCTCAGGCCCCTTAAAAAATACGTGCTGTTACTGACAGCCTGCTGCATTTTAGACTGTTGATATAATAGAGTGAGAGCTGATCTGAACTTTTATCCTGCTGAGAGATTTGAAATAATTACATACAATAGGAGGTCAAGTTAATGAGTAACTATGAAATTAATGTTTTGCAGGGTAGAAACCAGGCTTAGAGATGCTGTAAAAGGGAGGATGCTTGAATTCCTACATTAGAAAGAGTAGTTAGGTTCTTTTAATGTTGGTACTACAGGCTGCCATTCTCAGTATGTGGCAGACTTGCTGCAAGGTGCTTTGCATGTTCTATTTATGGAAAGGCTTGACTCAGCTGAGTTATCTTTATCTTTCTAGCAGACTTGGTAATACCAATCTGTTCTGTCCTCTAGCTGTGAGGGGTTTTTTTTCTAAATGCTAAAACTGATTAGCACAGGATTTGTTCCACTCTATTCTTCCCTTCTTCCTCCTTCCCCCAGACAGCATGTGATTGATGGGCTTTCACTGTCATCAGCCAGGTCTCAAGGTTACCGCCAAGATTTTAATTATCAGAAATGTAAATGTCAACTGAATTGGAATGGCAGCACTCTAACCTGAAATAGGAATATTGTTACAGGTGGGGAAATCTAGGTCTAAATGCATTTCTCCTAGCTCTAGTACAGGACATTGAGCTCCTGTGCAAACAGAAAGTGAACAGCAGGATCTAGCAGAAATCCTTACTACTCCCTACTCCTCCTCCCTTTAACCTTGAGACTAAACAGTGTTACTGTGGGAAGAGTTTAAAGAGAAAGTTTAAATATTTATCAAGGAATACAATAAACTACATTGCAGCTGCATTGCTAATAATCTTCAATTCCAAAGACATGGTATGGTCTGGTTAAGTGTGCTGAGTATTCTTCCTGGCACAATTCTTCACTGCTGTCAGGGTGGGTTTCAAAGTAGCTCTTGTCCATCTGGATTTCATACAGATCATGTGAAAAATCAAGAGAATCTAGAAGAACACCTCTTCCTTAGAAACAAAGTTGATTACAGTTAAAGGTGATAATTTTTAAATGTGAGTGCCTTAAACACAATGAAATATTTCAACTACCTTAATTACCATTTGTATGAATTATTGCTTGTGCAAGTCAGTGGCTGATGTCCTTTTGAATAGCTAATTCAGAATAAGAACAGAAGTTGTGGCTTCTCCCTTCCTCAAAACTGTGATAAAGGAGATAATAACCTACAAATAGTTTGTGGCAACATTTATTGACTTTCTAAATATATGCAATGCTGCTACTATATTTAGGGGAAGTTCTTAATGCTTAAACTAGCATTGAAGTTAAGAAGGAAATGGGGGAAGTTTGTAACACTATTTCCCAAGACACTGATGTTCATGATGCTGACTGCATCAAGGAACCCTCAGTACTGCTTAGAGGAATCTTAAAGCATCCACCCCTTTGAGTGGCTTTCTGTCCCTTAGCATTTCAACCAACTATGGGTCCAAACCACTAGTTTCAGGGGGAAGTTTAACTTGCCAGAAATACCTATGAAAATAAACCACCACCATCATATGTGTCCAAGGATCAGACCACAAGGACACATGGTTGGTACCACCTTTTATTGCAGAAAACAGAAAAAAAACAACAAACAGTAGTAGAGAATTGTCAAGTCACTATGATTCAGATTAGGACTCCATTATGGCAAGGCTGTCCATTTGCCCTGCTGTAGGTACCACTGTTCAACATGACTTACCATTTTCTATGTCATTGCAACAGCAAGCACAGGGAACTGCACATTGGCAATGGGCTATTCTTTAATGCTCTTACCCAGTATTTATGGTCTGCCAGTTGTAATTTTACACTCAGTCACATGGGACTTAACAGTGTTAGGTTTACAGTTGTACTCTATGATCTTAAAGGTCTTTTCCAACCTATGTGATTCTACAATTCTGTGTGCTTGGAACAATTTTTGTAGTCTAACCTGTTGTAAATGCTTGTGTTACCTTTCCTGTGGTACAAACATGCCATTTCTGGGCAGGTATGTACAGTAGCATTGGGACAGTCAAGGCAGCATCTGTGGCTGTTATTGAAGAAGAGTTGGAAGCAAGCCTGTTGTATCTGCATTTTACAAAACAGCAGGTCTCAACTGCTCCTTTCTCATTCTTCCCACACAGCTCAAGATGGTGTTGTTCCACACTTCAGAAAAGTCATCCTACACAACCCTTCATCTTATGATAGGCATTTTTGTTGGGGGGTTTTGGGTGTGGTTTTTTTTTTGTTTGTTGTGTATTGGGAGTTTTTTTGAGACTGCATTTATAGTGAACAGCATTCCAGCAGCTCTGATAAAAGAACCTGTACAACCACTGTTGGTAACAGAGCCCTTAGCCCCTATTCAGCAGCACAGTGAGAATCAAGAGGTCTTTTGTAGAACTTTGACCTAAAATTCTTAAATTCTATCACACTTCTAGTTATTTTTAATAAATATGGAGACAATATGGAGAGTATAATAAATACTTGGGATTCATGTAAGGCCATTCTGCCTCAGCTGTCCCTGCACAATTCAGGTGTTTTCCAGAAGTGTTTTTAAATGAAGCAAGCACTCAATGTTGACAGCACTTACAGCAAAGATATATTTTGACTTCTACATTTTCAAACAGGAAGAAACAAACAAAACCTTTAACATCTCAAAATATGCTTCACAGGTCAATAATTAAAGACAAAATCATGCAAGCTTCTCAGTTTCCAAGCTGAAGCTGCAAGTAGGATACAGTGTACTCAAATCCACTTTCCAATAAACTTGTTCATACAACATAAAATGTATCATATACCCAGAAACCAAACCCCACGTCCTCCCCAAACAAAAAGGCAGTCTGAAAAAATCTCACATGACATCAGAGAAAAGGTTGATGTTTTTCTCCAGTGGCATCAGATGTGCTTTCTATTTCATTAAGCATACACCCAACAACTTAAAACAGTGTTTTAACACTGGCCAGGCAAATATCCTAACGAGGAAACCAGCTAAGAGGTCCCTGCAAATCCACCTTAGCAACACAGGAAACACATTTAAACCTAAACTGAAATACTGGAATGCTGAGAAATTCCCTTCAGTTCTCTACAATGTTTATTTTACCCTCCTCAAAGAAGGGGCCTTATAGTGTAATACAGAACAATGACATCAATAAGTCATCTCATGTTTGTGTTTTCAATCTATTGGAATATTATTATTCTCAAACCTCCTATTCTTCCCTCATTGCATGTTTTGGCAGGTAAATCTTAAGTCCTATTATCACAGCTAGACTTTCAGCAGTATTTAATTGCCTTCCCTCTCAAGTGTTCACTACACCCAGCTGTGGTCTCTGGAAGCTCCACATCTGTTGCAAGACAGCTTAATGCTAAGCAAGTGTCCCTGCCATCATAGAGGAATCCAACAGATCACTTCTGACTCAGTGATGACCAGACAGTTCATAGAATGGCACTGCAGAGTCATAACTGAGGCAGTAAGAAATAAGCTCACTTCTGAACTCACCTAGATGCTATTTAGTTGGGAATCCAGTTCAGCAAAGCAAGTTTTTAACTTCAGTTTGTCAGCTCCTTGCAGCTCCCTGCTAGGTCTGCTAGTGACCCTCTCCATGGCAGCATTGGACTGTTAGTCACATTATTAGTTTGACAGAGCACATCCAAGGCCAAGGTGTTTCCATCTTTCCCCTCTGCTGGGTGTTGTGGACAAAGCAATCAGCTGCACTCACAGAAACACCAGATTATTTGTGTGAATTCTGAAAGAGCTTCTTTCTCCTTCAGGCAGTGTAATCAGAAGCAAAGTGCAGAGAAATACTAACTCACACAGGGAGCGAAAAAAAATTCTGCTTCTGAACAAGTCTTGACAACTAGACAACTTTTCTCACCTCATACCATATTTTTCATACAAACCTTAGTCAGCATCTTCTCACCTATCATTAAGTGAGCTCTTCAAACAACCCACAGTGACAACAGCAATATTTCTTGCCCCACACAAAAGAATCAGAGCAATAAAGTTTTGTTGACTCAGAATTAGTAATTTTCCCTGACAGAGACTTTTCTCTGGTAAAACAAACTCCAGTCTAATGCCTTTTTTCATATTAAAGTGTATTTTCTCAGCTTTAAGAGTATTTATGGCTTGAAATTAGTATAGTTTCTTTATAAAGAATAGTTTATAGTTTCTTTAAATTGTGTGTCTCATCCTACTCATCAAATTTTAAGATCCACCCAGACATACCAGATCAAACACAAACAGTAAGCCAAGCTCAAGCTTGAGAAGAGTCTCCAGTAGCAGATCTGGTGTTGTCCTTGTATTGCAGTGTTTAACTGCCAGCTGAGTGGAATTCCTAGAAAATTCAGTCCAGTGTACAGGAAACAACAGAAAAGTAAGGACCTACATTTACCTAAAATCACACGTCAAATCATGAAGACCTATATTTACCTAAAAAATTTATAAATAAATAAATGTATTTAATGTTAAAGGCATTATAAAGCTAGAGGCATTTATTTAATTACTAGAGGCAATACCACCTAGATTTGTATTTTGGGACTACAATTTACGCAGTTTTAAAAAAAATATGTTTAACTCTAAACTTAGACACTTAGTACTGTGT